AACAAGGCAGAGAGCAGACCATACCATTCGAACGTGGGCAAAAGAGAAGATGAGACATTTTACCAAGAGCCTATACAGATGGCAAATCGCCCACCAAAAGATATTAGCTAGCATGAGCCAATATGGGAATCTACATTAAACTCACAGTGAGACATCACTACAGACGTGGCAGAATGACGTGAAAAAACTAGCAAGAGCACTAGACGCTAGAGAAGGAACCGGATCCCTCAGTCTTCGTTGCTGGGAATGTAACATAGCAGAGATTCTAGAAAGCAGTTTCATCACGGATTTAAAAAATTACACCTTCGACTATCATATACACCAGCCGTTGTTGTCTCTGAGGCTTATCCCAGAGACAAAAATACCCTTTATACAAAAACTTGCGCATGAATATCCGAGCGGCTTTGTTTGTAGTAGTAAAAAAAAAAATGGAAATAACTCCAGATAACCTGCAGCTGGTAAATAGTTAAATAAAGGATAGTTTATCTAGAATCATGAAATGCTACCCAAAAACACTCTCTGCCCAGGAGTCAACTCTAACTCTTCGCACCCCTACACATCAGACTCGATCTACCCCGAGGGGTGTCCAACACTATGCATTTTGGGGGGAGAAGAAAGCCTGCTCTTTCTCCTGAGGGGTTGCCGGTGACTGTGAGTGGCGGACCTTGTCGTTAGCGGTCCAACTTGCAGCCCATAGGCCACCAGGCTCTGTCCTCAACAACAAACAAGAAAAAGTATTGATGCACAGAGCAACTTGGATCGATCACCGGGGAATAAAGATGAGTAAAGAAAACAACCAACCAAACAAGAACCCAATCTCAAAAGAATGCCTACGGTATCTCTCCAATCATATAGCATTCCTGAGAGGACAGGACCTTAGCAAGGAAGGACTTTTCCTGGGTGTCGCAGCTTCAGGGGGGAGTCTGGGGAGTGAGTGGGTGTGGCTATGGGAAGACTGCTTAGGATTCCTTGTGGTGATGGAACGACTGCTCCAGTGTCAGCATCCGGATGGGGATATGGTGCTGTGGGTTTGCACAATGGTGCCTTTGGGAGAAATTGGGGCAAGGATGCGCAAGATTTCTCTGAATTATTTCTGAGAACGGCACACAAATCTGCCATTTGCCCAAAATGAAAATTTTCATTATAAGACGCATGTATATTCCTCAGCTTGTTTATTTTTAGTGTTTACACTGTTTAAATGTTCAGAAAGCATGTACTTGCTGAGACAGTTACACCTTGCCTTGGCTTTCGAAGCCCTGGCGGTGCAGTGTGTGACTCGGTGAGCTGTTAAGCACAAGGTCACAAGGTCGGCAGTTCAAATCCACCACCTGCTTCGGCAGGAGAGAGCTGGGACAGGCAACTTGCTTCAGTAAAGATCTACAGTCTAGGAAACCCTAAGCGACAGGTCTGCTCTGTCACAAACAGCTGGATGGCAATGAATTTGGGTTTGGGCTTTGACGTTTGAATAATCGACTTCCTTTCATTGACTCTTCCCCTTGTCCTTCGATGTGCATTTTAATGTTGTTGTGAGGTGCCCCTGACTCAGCTCCAGCTCAGGGCACAGCAGGATGAACGGGGCCTTGCCCTGCACCACCTCAAGCCGGATGTTCTGTTTGAGCCCATTGCCATAGTCACCGTCAGTTCCTCTGTTGAGGGTCCTCCCCTTTCTCCCTGACCCTCGACTGTACCAAGCATGATGTCCTTTGCCAAGGCCTGGCCTCTCCTCGTCACATGCCCGGAACATGTATGACAGAGCCTGGCCATCCTAGTTTCTAAAAGAGTATGCTGGCTGAACATTTTATGTACTTTATGAATATTAATAAGTGATGTAACCTATATTGTTCCAGAAGACATTTGTAAAAAATAGTCTGGGGTTTTGGATTTTGTTAGATTTATTATGGGTTTATTTTACATACCTTACATGTCATCTATTTAAAGTCTGCAAATCAATGGCTTTTTATATACTCGCAGAATTGTGCAGCTGCCGCCACAATCAATTTTAAAGCACTTCCATCACCCCAGGAAGAAACCCCCCACTCCAGAGCTGTCTTTGCAGCCAAACCCCATCTTGCCTAACCCTAGGTAACCACTAGTCTTCCTTCTGTTTCTCTAAACCAGTTCTTTCTCAAAGGATAACCTATTAAAAAATATAAACAGCAGTTAAAATATATATACATACATGCAGCCACTCTCATCTTACCATACTAACAAGCTAATTTTCCTGGGCAGCCTCTTTATTATGGTAATTATTATGTATGATACTAAATACATAGTGTACTTCACTTTTCTGTGTAAACAGTGTTATGTATCCAGATAGATAGATGGAGATAGATAACAATATAATTCTGGAAAGGTCAAAGACAGCATACCCCCGAGACCCTTTGATTTTAAATCTCTAGTTACCTTACATTGAGTCTAATAGAAAATATCCATCCATTATTAATGATTTCATTCATGGCTTGGAATAATGCATCATGATTTGTTTTTGTTTGTGAGCATGAAAGGCTTCTTAGTCTCTCCTGACTAGCAGTCCTACAGTGAGGGATGGCCGTGGGGCCTGCCCCTGTGCTGAATCTCAGCCAGCTTTCAAGGGACCTGAGCCCTGGGAACCTCCCTTCAAAGGACGGGCAGCTTCCTGCTGGGTGTCTGCCTGCTGGGCTCTGAGTGGCCTCTCCCTCGGGCAGCCCAGACTCCCCTGGACTCTCTCAGCACAGTCTGTAAGAACAGGGCTGTTAGCTGCCATTACTGGTGTGGGATCTTAGACAGGCGGACCTTTGTTTCCTTATAATTGTTAGGCATTAGTGGCATTTTCTTGCTCCAACAAAATGCCCTGGCTTCATCTTCCACTTCCTGGGAATCTGTAAAATAAGGTTTTCTAAACTACACAAAATAGATGCTGTTATGTTTGTGAGAATGTTTAAGCCACCTATCGTCATAAACTCTTTCATTACTTTAAAAGCATTCGTTGTACAGATAAGCAGCAATTCAAAGAACTATTCCCCTGTCTAAACCAGCTCCCTCAAGCTTTCTGTAGGATGTTTTATCGGTGTGGTTATAATATAAAAATGAAAGGAATGAAATGTGAACGTCTTATAATAATGGTATCTAATTTAGATCTGTAAGTAATTCTGAACACAATTTTCCTAATCACACCAAGTAAGTAAGATTTAACCATTGTGTGTGATTTAAATGTACAGCATTTAAACATTTTTCATATCGGGCATCTCAACAGACAGGGCGTTTATTTCCTCCCTCCCCCCCCAACACCAAACCCTTGGAAAAATAAGCCCAGTAAGCACTTTTAAAAACACAAATGTCTTGCTATCCCTGACTAGATAGTTTCTATTTTCTTGCATTCCGAGAGAAATAACTGTGAGGGAAAATAAGGAGTAGGTGGATATGTTCAGATAATGCAGAATGTCATTTGATTCTAGAGGAAAAAGAATTCAGCTGAATGAATAGCTCAGAGTGTTTGTGTCAGAACCGAAGCTTGACTCTGAGTCAGTTCTCCGTGGAAACAGCAAGGAAACTGTAAACAAACAAACAAGGGAGCTAGAAGCAGGATTTGGTCCAGAATTTATAGGAAATCAATAAAAATCAAGGGAACCTGCAGAAGCCAACGCAAGTTGGTCATCATTAATTCTAGCCAGGTCTCGCTTCTCTTGCTTAGAGACTGCTGTTTTCTTACTTCAGACGGTAAATAGAGCTTTTCTTCCAAGAAGGCAGTTTAGATGGAATTTCATCCTGTGGTGGGAGTGCGCGTGGAGGCGCAGTTGCTTAAAACGGAGGATGTATATTTATATTGGATGTGTTGAGAACTTGCTGGCAGCAGTGGCTAGGCATAGCTCATTTCTCTGATAATATTCCTCATCTACCACGCTTATCTAGCCCGATTTCACTCCTGTCACTTCATGCCACCGCATTTATATTTTATTTCTCACACAGACTGCTAGGCAAGGCCCACAGTATTTTTTTTTCCCCACAGAGAAAAGTTGCAGATATCTGGAATTGAAAAAAATAAAATAAAATAAAATGAAGGGCGAATGGCGATAAGGCTTTGAATTGGGAATAGCAATTATAATTTCCTTTACATTCCATCAGAAGGAATGTTCAGATGTCTTCATTCATGCCTCCACCTTTCCACAGCATTCTCCCTCTTTTGAGCGTCTCAAAAGCTGTAACAGCTCCTGTCTGGGAACAAAGTCCATGTGCTTAAAAAACATGGGATTAAAAAAGTTTTTCTTATAAATCATTTTATTGGGGCCTCTTACAGCTTTTAGAACAATCCATTGTATCAAGCACCTTTGTACAGGTTGCCATCGTCGTTTTCCAAACCAAAATGCGATTTTTAAAGTCTCACTGTCATAAAAAATAGACCATTTCCGAGGGGCTGCGGCTGTGGAGAGAGCATCGACAGGGCGCAGACAGAGCAGTCTCCTTGGGTGTTAGAGGAGGAGGGCTTGGAAGGCCCCTTTCTGGTCAAGTTCAGAACCCCTCAGGCCCACGATGGCCCCTGGTGAACGGAACCGCGTGACTGAGTGATGTGCCCGCGGTGGGAATAAAGAGCACTTTGAACTTCTTTAGGGTTTTTGCGATTTGAAGTTAGGGGGTGAGAGCGTTTTCAAAGAACAGAAGCAAAACCAAATGTTAAGACTGTGACTGTGGTTTGGCAGGGCGCCATTAGCAGAGCGCTTAGGGCGAGGGTAGCACTTAGGCTCCAGAGAGGTCCCCGTGATGGCTTGCTTAGACAAGACCAAGTCGGACCTTCTGCCTGCGCGGCCATCATTCCCCTGGCAGATCAGGAGAGGAGTGGGATGCCACGCTGGGTAAAATGGTCAGGTTTGGTTTCCTGAGCAAATTGTCTTCTAGTCTGCAGAGAACCACCACCACAAAAAGGCGTATTGATCCAGATAAATATTTTTGATAGAAAAATGTCATTGTGCCATTGCCTTCATTCCTTTCTTCCCTTCCTTCCTTTTCTTAAAAACCAAACACTACAGGATCCTTCTGGAATTCTGCCTCCTTCAATACGGAGGCTTCCTACCTCCATTTCCCCACTTTCCACGGAGAACTGAGCGCAGACGTGTCCTTCTTCTTCAAGACCACGGCCTCCTCCGGCGTGTTTCTGGAGAACCTGGGGATCACGGACTTTATCAGGATCGAGCTCCGCGGTGAGTCCGCTGGTCCAGAGCCGCCTAGGGCGCCCTCTCCTCGGTTTTCAGAGGGTGTATCCTTCCACTGTCAGCTTCCCACGGGGTCCTGCCTTAACGATTGCACGACTTTAAACCTGCCTTGCTGTGAGAAAATGATTTGATTTGTAGCATGTAATTATCTGTGGAAATCATTGCTCTTCGTTACAGCCAATTTTAAAGGGGATTTCAATGGTACTGGTTAAAATAAAGGGGGCCGTCGGGGGGCCGTTGTATGTTAGTTTGCTAACTGCAAAGCCAGTGGTTCAAACCTACCAGCATCCTCCAGGAGATCTCTTCCCTTCGAGATTTACAGCCTCTAAACCAGCATGGTTCTCAACCTGTGGGTCGCTACCCCTTCGGGGGTCGAACGACCCTTCCACAGGGCTCGCCCGATTTAGGACAGTAGCAAAACGACAGTGATGAAGTAGTAATGAAAATAATTTTGTGGTTGGGGGGTCACCACCACCTGAGGAACTGTATGAAAGGGTCATGGCATTAGGAAGGTTGAGCACCACTGCTCTAGACCCTTTATAGAGTCGCTACCAGTTCAAATCGACTCACTGGAGTGGGTTTGGTCTGAGGTAGCTAAAAAAAAAAAAAAAGTACAGTTTCAGTTAATTACCAAATTACTTAAGTGGTCATCCTTGGCCACTAATATCGTCATAGTCAATGTTTAAAATTATATATGCTTTGACTCAGCTATGAATTAGCTATATTTAGAGAATCATGCTGATGCGAGCTCATTGTCCGGCCCTGGCGATCTCTGCAATATTTGTCCATGTTGTCACTAGTTGCTGCCCAGCAAAGCTTTGCTACTTAGCAGAACATATCAAAAATGAACGCAGTGGATAAACTTGTTCAATGTATTGTCCCCTTTCATCCCGCATCAGATGACACCAGTGTCATCCGTTTCTTCCATCAAAGTCCCAACGTTGTCTTTTTTATTTAGTGCCTTTCTGCTGCGATGCCATCCCTAAGTGTTAATGGCTCAGCCCACGGCCCCACGAACTAACCAACCCTCGTGTCTCCTGTTCCCAGCTCCTGCGGAAGTGACCTTTTCATTTGATGTGGGCAACGGGCCTTTGGAGATCTCGGTGCAGTCCCCCTCGCGCTTCAGTGACAACCGGTGGCACCACGTCCGAGTGGAAAGGAACGTGCGAGAGGCGTCCATTCGGGTGGACCAGCTCTTGCGGAAGACGCAGCCTGC